TATATCATTGTTTTCTATAGTTTTGGTTTGTAAGGATTAGTTATGTTTTACGAGTTGATCACGGACTGATATCAGTTAGAGAACCATTGGAAACCAGGGAGTACTGGACAGCTGCTGTTTCATCCTAGTTTGGGAATCATCGGCAGTACGCACCCACTGGGATTCGAACCCAGGACCTTCCGGTTACAAGGCAAGCTCGTATATAACATTCAGCCACTGGGACCCGATTCAATGGCTCATGAATTCTAACTTCTACTAATCCTTACAAACCAAAACTATAGAAAATTATTCTGATGCTCGCTAGTGACTTGCTACAGGCTGGAGCTTCCTGGAGTTCTAGTGAGAAGTCGTGACCAGTGAGGTCCAATTAGAAGTCACGTTTGTGGATGGATGTCCCACCAACGACAATAGTTGGGGTCGCGCTAAAATCACGAATTGGTAGAAGTTAGAATTCATGAGCCATTGAATCGGGTCCCAGTGGCTGAATGGTATACGAGCTTGCCTTGTAACAGAAAGGTCCTGGGTTCGAATCCCAGTGGGTGCGTACTGCCGATGATTCCCAAACTAGGATGAAACAGCAGCTGTCCAGTACTCCCTGGTTTTCAATGGTTCTCTAATTGATATCAGTCCGTGATCAACTCGTAAAATATATCATTGTGATTGTGTAGCTAATTGAATGAATTCGCCGAAAAGAGACTCTTCGCTAAACTGTTTCTTCGTATATTCATGTCTGAATGGGTATTTTCCGTGAATTAATGTATTAGCTGTGTAAGTGCGTCTTATTCCAGTCAAAATAACCCAGTTAGTTGAGTTAGAAATCCTAGACCGTTAATTTGACAGAAATCATCGTTGAATAGGGAATAGGGTTAGGGATAATAATTCACAGATAAACAAGCTACACATAATATCAAACAAAAATTAAAGCAAATTGGTGGATGGTGACTAGCAGTAGAATCCAGGATGAGCATTTCGTCCTATACGAGGCTCTTCGGCTGGATACACCTGCATACCCCAGTGACTGGTGGATTTCCAATCGGGGCTCGAACCCAGTACATATAGTTTAGAATGCCAAAGCGCTATCCACTAGACCACTTGGACCATGACAGCTGCCTATTGTGCAATGGGTCATGTTAATTATTTAATTCAATTTGGACTTTCCAGTTGATTGACTGGAATGAAGTGCTTGGACTCAGTGGGAACACCACTAGGAAATGCAGATCCATCCAACAGATAGACTCCCGAATAGGAAGAAATGCTCATCCTGGGTTCTGCTGCTAGCCGCCACCCACTAATTTATAACAGATTAAAGTATTATGCAAATATTCACAACGGGAAACTTACGGAATCCTTCGAAGTGAGGACAGGAGTAAGACAAGGCTGCCTACTATCGCCAATGATTTCCCTGATTGCAGTAGACTGGATAATGCGAAAAACAGTGGGCAATGAGGAAACAGGCATAAAATGGACTCACACAAAAAACTTGGAGGATCTGAGCTTCGCCGATGATATATGTCTGATTTCCCACAAACTGGAATATATGCAAGCGAAAATCAACAAGTTGGCAGAAGAAGCATCCAGAGGAGATAGGACTTCAGGTGAACATAGAGAAAACAGTGGTTATGAAGATTCCTGGATAAGAACAACAACAGCAGACAACGATCAGCTTAAATGGGAGGAACCTGAAAGAAACAACCTCTTTTACCTACCTGGGAAGCATCAACTACAGGCGGAACTGACGAGGATATCAAAGCAAGAATCGGAAAAGCAAGACAAGCTTTCACTACTCTCAAGTCTGTGTGGAGGTCAACAGCACAACTCAGCATGAAAATGAAAATAAGATCCGGATTTTCAACTCCAATCTGAAGTCAGTGCTACTATACGGATGGATCAGAGACTTGGCCAGCGCGTCATAAAGAGCATCTCAAACAAACTACAGACCTTCATCAACAGCTGCCTTCGCTCAATACTACTCAAGATCAGATGGCCAAAAACATCAGCAATAGGGAGAGATCTCTGGGAGCGAACCAACTCAACAGGAACTGACTGTGCAACAAATATGCAGGAAGAAATGGAGGTGGACTGGATTGGCCATACTCTGAGGAAACCATCAAGTGACATCACCAGACAAGTCATTGCTCGAGTGGAACCCGAAAAGGAAGCGGAGAGTTGGTCGTCAGTGCAAGGGTGACTTGGAGGAGGTCATGTGAAGAGGAGATGAAAACGTGTGGGCAGACATGGAGCCAGGTGAAGACTCTAGCAGAGAACCGAACGCAATGGAGACGCACGGCTGAAGTCCTATGTTCCTCTAGGAATTAAAGGAAACAGTAATATAATAATAATAATTTACACGAATTACTTGTATTAAGCAATGTTCCGATTGTCTGTGTCCAATAAATTAGCACGGAACACTTCAACTTGTAATTATATTCCTGATGAGAGGCCTAATAAGCTTAGTTGATATTTCAGTGACCTGCATGAAATCAGCATCATTTTTCAATAGTCATGACAGTTTATTGTATGTCTGGCCACAGGAATCAGTTAATGTCATGGTATAACGCACGCCTATGAATGGAAATGTATAGAATCTCCCGAATTTCTAATGCTGTCGCCAGTTTTGATGATGATGATTTCAGCACATATGGTGTGTCTTTAGTTTATCCATTTAGATTATGATAACACCTTTCTGCTTCAGTATAATCTAAGTAGGATTTATGATGCTTTCCATGTGTTAAACTTGTTTCCCGCTATGTCCTGTCATGGACAGGACAGTACATGCATTTCAAGAGCTTTGTTCCAATCCAGTATAAAAAGAACTTAGTGAGAAAAGTGTTCAATAGAGCACGAAAAATTTGTTCTGGCAGTACTATTGAGCATTAAATAAAATCTCTGAAGGATATTTTATCTAAGAATGGATATCATGAGAAGCTCATTAATAAATACTCTAAAGAAATTAGCCCTTGCAAAACAATCCAAACAGTTCCGAAGAAATCTGTCTACATCAGTTTGCCGTTCAAAGGAGATGATATACAGGAAGTAGTCAAACGAAGACTCGATAAAGCCATCAAGAGAACTTATTATGCTGCAAAACTTGTTATCCTTAATACCACTAAGCGAATGCTTTAGCAATCTGGGAAAGACCAGTCGCCAATCATGGACACTTCAAACTGCGTATATCAATTTCAGTGTGTTTGTAGAAGCAAATACATAAGTCGTACAGAAAGGCGATTGTCTACTCGCATGATGGAGCATTTGCCAAAATGGCTGAAAACAGCTGAGTGCAAAGTGCCAAAATCCTCAATAGCAAAACATCTTTTGGACTAAGGACATGATGTCGACGCTGTCAAGCCATTCACTATTGTCAGCAAACAAAGAAACAAGAAGATGCTTGCAATTGCAGAGGCTTATGAAATTCGAGTTTATAAACCAGGTCTCTGTGTACAAAAGGAGATGGTCGTGACTCTGAATCTAACATGGTAATACGTTTTACTTATTATTCTACCTCTTATTATTATTATTCTTGAGTCATTTAAGACTATCTTTTATCAGTAGCATTATCTTAACTCACTTCAACACTATTATTATTATTGTTATTATAACTATTACTACTGATATTACTCTGTTTGCAATTCTTGTTATATTCTCTAATGACTAATTGTTTATCTAAGTGATGTAATTGAAGCTTAATGCAATTTATCTTAACTTTGATCTCTCATACTCTCTCTTCCCTTATCTTTTTGAACATGACCTGGAAAACATTAGCAGCTGTCTTTCTGCTTGACTAACTCAATGTAGTTTGTTTACTTATCAGTCTTATGTCTCCCAATGTAATTTCCATGTATGTAGAGTATTCAGCTGAGGAGGAGTTCTACCGACATTTGATGAATTCATTAAATCCTGCTTTATTAACCTTGATTGCTTGTTTTAAGAACAGTTTTATCTATGTGGTTCTATATTGATGAGCTAAAAAGGCGCATATATACGTATATATATATGTACGCACATAGTCAGAGTTCCATTCATTTGTAAACCAATATTTTATTCAAGATTATCTACATTTGCATGTTACTTTAAAAAAATTCTATTTATGACATAACATTTTCCATTTTAGTCTAAGCATGTGTACAACTGTTTATGTATTTTAATATTATAATTATTTCCGATTGTCAGTATTTGACAAGTATGTTCCAAAAACAAAAGTACTTTATATTTATTACCTTGCTTCCCTTACCTTGATTCGATTCATTCAAATTTATGCTGGCAAAAGTGGTACTGAAAATCAAAATGTCTGAAATAACTATTTTGAGCAGAATTCACGTTATTTCGATGGATTGTCGTCTGCACTTTACTGCGTAAATTTACCTGGATAACTAGTTGAAATTAAAATTCAGCATGCTTTAGTTTACTGATAGGTAGTCAGTTAACTGGGGTAAATAAATACAACCCCTAATGTAGCCCCAACTCAGTACGGATTCCTAAATGGTGTGAAGCATACTAAAATATTACAATTACACATGTTGTTCAGCTAGGACAAATAAGGTTATCAGTGGACAAAATTTAGAATAATTTGAAATGGTAGATTGAAATTGGTTTAAAATTGATTCTGCATCATAGCTCAGGTGTAAAAATTCATATAATTACACACAATCAATTAGACTAGAGTGTTAATGCTGAAATCTCACCCAGCAAGCTAGAGGGAAGCATTGATAACCGAAGCTTTATTTACTGAATCAGTATCAAACACATGGAATGGGGAATAACTGTCACCGAGCTTACTCTGATAGTTATCAGCGTAACTCAAGTTAATACTGTCTTGAAGCTCTCTGACTCAGAAATACTTAGCCAATTAAGTGCTTAGTTAGCTACAGACATCAATACTTAATATTAAATATAGTATTTTTTTTCAAAACACTTAGAGGTAGAATGTTATACTTTATTCCAGAAATTAAAGTATATTTAGAATTTTAACATTACTTATTCCTGTAAGCGGAAGTTCTAGAAGCTTAATTACGGAGTTTACGAAGTGAAGAAGTTTGAACAGCTTCGACAAAATGTTTTAGTCGAAGACTAGTGTCTTTATTACTGAAATACAAAAAAAAATAATTACTATTAGTTTGAAATCAGAAGGAAGATTAATATAGAGAAATGATTTGAGAAGTGTGATAACAGAAATTTAGAATTCGTTACAACTGCTGCTACTCTGAAGTTTCTGTTATTTTTTTGCAGTCAAAGCATAGGAGGGAACTGTTCTGTCTTTTTGGCACATGGAGAGAGCTCAATAGTATCTGTCTAGCACATACACACACCCACATTCTGCAGCGGTTCGCAAGTAGAATTCCCTGTTTGTTTTTATTAGGGGCTCTCATTTGGATGTAAGTGAATCTAAGGATTATTTTACCACTCATCCCTTCAAACATGACAAAATTACCTACAACAGCTAGATTTTCTTTGATAGGTGTTAGTTGGTTTTTGGAGCCTGTGTTGATATTTGGGCTTCATGTACTATATTATTATTATTCCCTTGGGTTCCTAGTGGAACATAGGGCTTCAGCTGCACGCCTCCACTTGCTTCTGTCTCCTGCTGTACTTTTCACTTGCATCCATGTTAATCCATACTGTTTCAGTTCCTCATCACACGATCTCCTCCATGTCACCCTTGGACGTCCCACTCGCCGCTTCCCTTTCGGGTTCCACTCGAGGGCCTGACGCGCGATGTCACCCAACGGCCTTCTCAGCAAGTGTCCAATCCATATCCACTTTCTCCGGCATATTTGTTGGGCGATTGGTTCCTGTTTTGTTTGTTCCCATAGTTTCTTGTTGGTGATTCTTTCCGGCCATCTGATCTTCAGTATAGAACGAAGACAGCTGTTGATAAAGGTCTGCAACAGGCTGTTGGAAATATTCTTTGTGACCCGCGAAGTTTCTGATCCGTATAGCAAACTGACTTGACGTTTGTATTGAAAAAATTTTGTTGTTGATGCTGAGTGACGAAGATTTCCAGATTGGTTTCAGGTTGATGAATGTGTTTCTCGCCTTCCCGATTCTCGATTTGACATCCTCGTCCGTTCCTCCTGTGGTTGAGACAATGCTCCCTAGATAATGAAAGAAGTAACCTCTTTCAAATCCCTCCCGTGATGGTGATTGGCGCTGGATGTTGCTGTTGTTGGTTGGTTATTTTCATAATCTCCATCTTGTCTATGTTCACCTGAGTCCTGTCTTTGCTGCTTCTTCGACCACTTTGTCGGTTTTCGCTTGTAAGTCTTCGATTTTGTGTGATATCAAACATAAATCATCGGCGAAATCCAGGTCTTCTAGGTTTTTCACGTCGGTCCAGGATATCCCTGTCTTCTCGTTTCCCACTGTCTGACGCATAATCCAGTCCACCACAATTATGAATATCATTGGTGATAATAAGCACCCTTGTCTGACTCCTGTGTTTACTCCAAACGCTTCGCTGAGTTTTCCGTTGGCTTCATGTACTGATGTCTTATAACACTACTGCACTAGTGAGTCAGTCAAAACACCTCGCTTCATTCGATAGGTTTCAAATCAGATGAAACGCACATTCTAGACAGTAAAGCTTATCATTACCAATGTTAATTTTTACTAAAAAATAGTCTAATTATGTGATAAATAACCTCTGTCACTTTTATGTATGAAAATTCAGTTGGTAGGAACTACATTATTTGGTCCACTGGACGGATTAAAATCAGAGTTACAGTAGTCAAGCAAGTATTTGGTATAACAGTAAAATCATTTAAGTCAGAGTCAGATTCAGTTAAATGAAGCTGATTTTCAAAAAAATATACAGGTCAGACTTTTTTAATCACAACAACCTACTATATGAAGTGACCAGCTAGAAATCTGTACATTAGAGCCCTATTGCAACAAGATGGTATGCACTAATGATCTATGTGAATTAGAAACTGATTCGGCTTTCCACGCTGGGTCTAAGCGGGTACACTGGTTATCGTCTCGGGGGCAAGAGGGAAAAACAAGCATCCAGTACTTAAATAATTTCGATATGACCAGCAAGCACTACTGGTTGATGTCAGTGGTTCCCAACTATTCGTATCAATCAGTAATATATTATTGTTCCCTTGGGTTCCGAGTAGAACATAGAGCTTCAATAGTACATCTCTACTTTGTCTTATTCTCTGATGTCCTCTTCATCTGGCCTGACGATTGCCCATATTCTCTCACATCCTACTCCATGCTTCGGACGCTCGTCGTTTCCCATTGCTATTTAGTTTTCTCTCTAGGTTACCATTTACATAACCAAACAAAACACATGTAGTGAATATTTTGGCTTTCTAAAGGAAACTAGCGAATTCCTACTTTGAAATGTGCAATCTGCAAATAACCGATTTGATTTTAACTACCACCGTAAATTATTCATTCAAATAAAAAGTAACATTTTGATAAAATTAAGGCTTACGTATCTTCCTCATCGCTTAAGGAACGTAGACACAAGAAAGCAGCATGGCGACAAACTTCAGCTATTTCACACTTTGAAAGTCCTTTTGTTTCCATTGCAATCGTTTGGTAGTCCTCTTGTGTTAAGTTTTGAGCTGCAATATGATCCTTTAAAAGTTCATTCAATATTTCAATTCTATCCGCTAGGCAAGGAAGAGGGTTATTTTCCTAAAAAAAATGGATATTGATTATGCAATTCATAGGACAAAAATATATCAAGAATTATTAAAATAATCATCCGAAGATAAAAATAAAACAAAGTGTAGTCCATATTTTAAATATTATACGATACGAGAAAAACAAAATACAAAGGAGAAAAGTCAAAAGCTTTAGTGAACTCGAAGTGTAACTGGAATAAATTTTGTTGGCGAGTGCTTATGACAGTCAAACTTTCTAAGGCTAATATATTTTATCGAGAATACTATTTCCCTCACTGACTGCCCACTTATCATTTCTGCTGTACGGTATTAAATCGCTGGGTGGACATTCACAGGTTTTTTTTTTCACGACGATATTCTTTACACACTATTCACAAGTCGTTGATCAGCTTTCAAAACAAGAGAGAACATAACAGGGATGAGAAACTTGATTACTAGAATCCATCAATTGGAATATATATAGTAAAGTGTGCTAACGATGACAAAAGGCACGTAAATCTTATCTGATAATAACTCTTTTCACATATACTTTCTTTTTTGCTAATTAATCAACGAAGTTACAAATTGAACGCAGTTATTCATTGTCATCTACCAAAATACTTAAAGTCGGGAAGTTTATCAAGCTAAAAGCAAACTTGAATAAGTACTGTAATCCTTAGTGTCCTAACTTAGTTACTCACGAATTTTTCAAGTCTTGGCTTGTAGGGACTTGACTGACTTCCAAATAGCGTTCATGACAAACTGGTAGCTAGGGGACCACTGAAAACGAGGGAGTATTATAGTTCTAATAAGAAGTTGTTGCAGTTCGGCACACTAAGTCAGATGTGAGCACAGATACCCACCCGTGACACTAACTGGCATTGGCACAATATATCGTGAAAACACAGGAGTTATGAACTATAAACCGTTGTTCCGTTTCAATGCTCATTTCGTAACCAGAAGGCTTTCGGTTCGACCAGTGAAGCGTACTGGTGAAGAGTCCAAAGGCAGGGTAGGACAGCTGCTGTGTTGTTCTTGGTTTTTAATGGTTCTCTAGCTGATGTCAGTTCGGGATGAAATCTAACCTAAAAGGATAAAGTTAATTACGAGTTGCTGCTAATGTTTCGATAGTAGTAGTTAAATTAGTTTGTTGTGTATATTGCATGACACAGTTCATAATTCTCACATATGTACTCGCTGAGATCAATTCATACCAAGAATTCACTTTTCTCATCTTGAATGGAATCAAATGCTGTGCGGATCTAAATTCATTAGATAAGTGGTTAACATGACTCCACTAAAACGATCACCTCTAACATACCATTGAATTGTTACTTAGTTAGACAAATAATCATTAGACAACACCAGTACTTAAAAAAATACAAATACAGGTAGGAGTGCTTGATACATTATACCATAATTGTAACTAATTCAACTGTGTTGAAACAATACTATGCTGAGACAAGTTTGTAAATGTAAACAGTTAGTTCAGTGTTAGTCATCACTAAGATATAGAAAAATTTTATAACTTAAGTCTAATGAGGTTTGAAAGTAACGAGCAAGTTCAGAATTGTATAAATCAAGTTAGAAACACGATTCCAAGTAACCTCATAAGAATGATAAACAAGTAAGTATTCCTCACTAATTGAACACTAGAGTGGTATGTCTTGACCCTAATGCTGACCGAATTCCACTGGTCAGGTTTGCAGTGTGGTCACAGGGCACTTACTTTGAGTTCGAATGTTTCAGATTTAACGTCTCTAACTGAAGACTTGTGTGATTAGAAAGCCAGGAACAGATCGTTTATTACGAAAAATCAACACGTATTTATAGATTTTATGTACATTATTGTAGGTCAATGTTAGTAGAAAATACAGTCTGTTGATTGGTTGTTTCTCACACAAAGTTAACCTTGCATCTCTTTGGCTGTGTCAGTTCATCTATATGTTAACTGTAACGCCTGTCCACTTGACCTTTGACCTCAATTACTGTCAACCTATGATTACTTCGAATCTTTGAGAGAATATCAGTTTCCTCGAGATTGCTGATGAGTACCGATAAGCACGAAACCTAAGTCCTTAAGTTCCTGTTGATTTCATGTGGTCATCTAATATCATATTAATTTTTTTATGCATTGCAAACGCTGCAGTTAGAGAAGCATTCAGGAAGTATTCACTCTACTGCTGGACTGTACTCCATACACAGGTCTCCAGAAATTAGCCGAAGCTTTTGGTATTCTCTTCAGTGACTAATTAAAGTTGATATCATAATTGGTATTTCGGTTTTATGCACTGCAGTGTACTCACTCATATACATTCTGTTTATACTTTAATCCTCAAGTGCTAGTAATGGGATGTACAATACAAGTAGAATTTCATCAAAATATTCTTTACTATATAATTTATGTAATGACAGTGATAACATAAATGAAAAGCAGTCGTAACTGGTTATTGTCTATTAGCCTAACTCTGGATTTGTACCACCACCTAGAAGACTGAGCCATCAATTGACCATGTAAAAGGATAGTAAGACGATGGGGAGAGATAAGTTCCTCTCTATTATAAGTCGATGGCACAGCGGTTTGGACGCTCGCCGACCATGCATATGGTCTGGGGTTCGATCCCCTGCCGACGCACACCTGATATCAGTGGTCAGCCTACAAAATTTGGGCTACCGATATCATATGCTGAAAATTCCATACTTGTACCAAAAATACGGTGTGGAATCAAGCTATAATTAAAAATAAAATCTTAATGATACTACACTTCTCGGTGGTTGTGTTCCTGTCCGAGCTTTTGGCGAAACCTTAAATATCAGTCTAAACGCTCTATGGTGTACAACTTTGTGAAGCAATAAATTTGTCACATTATTCGATAGTATGTGTAAATAATTTCTTTTTAAGTAAACGATGTGCTCACGATTGGTTAATTCTGTTCTTCTCGCTTGTTCCGTGGTATTCCTTCACAAGAAATATGCCAATTCTTTATAATAAAGGCTTTTTTTGTATTTCCCAATGAATGAAAAACAAAACGATATTGTTTTTACCTTAATTGCAGTGAATAGCATATACCCAATGACCAAATTTTTCAAACTGTTAAAAGTGAACTTGGTTTGGACATACAGAAATATGCCAAGTTCATTACTTAAGTAAGTGGTACTGAAAATCTAAAACTCATACAGCGAAATGCAGAATCTGGTCTGTGAATACTCGCTATCATATCGCTGAGATAAACAAACGAGATATGAATGCCTTCAGTCTTTCTGTTGTGTTGTCTCAATGTTAAAGATGAAGGATAAGTTTCTATAAAGTTTTAGAATTCATTGGTATAGTTATATTAATAAGTAAATATTCATATTCAATAGTTGGTTTGTAAGGATTAAATTTGTTTTTACGGGTTTGACCACGGATTGATATCAGTTAGAGAACCAGTGAAAACCAGGGAGTACTGGACAGCTGTTTCATCCTAGTTTGGGAATCATCGGCAGTACGCACCCACTGGGGTTCGGACCCAGGGTGATTCCCAAACTGTCCAGGACTCCCTGGTTTTCAATGGTTCTCTAACTGATATCGACCCGTGATCAAACTCGTAAAAACAAATATTCATATCCTAAATTTTAAGGAAAGGTAAATGCAAGCACTAAAGGTTATCTTACTGACCACAGTCAGAGTGGTTCTGTAATGTAGGTTATTTCAATTGGTAGTGAAAGATCAATTTCATTGAAACTATGAATCCTACATTGGCATAATAAGGTCAGTAACAAAATACACATGTTACCTTAGCCTACAATAAGGTGCTTGAATATTTCCAAAAAGCAAAAAAAACAAACATATTTTTTGAACTAGTTTATATCACTACTTATACCAATAATTCACAGTGCACCGTAATGGCGAGCCACCTAGCATGGTGGCCACATTACAAACATGACTGATAGAATTCAGTCTGCACCGAAGATAGGACTAGACACATTACACTAGTTACTGACTAGTGTTCAATTAAAAAATATCCAATACGGTCCTACAGGAGGTCAGTCGCGAGCCTGAATAGCTCAGTGGTAACGTCTCTGACTGCAGCACTGGGTGACGCGGGTTCGAATCTCAGAAGGGACATCAGTTCCTTCAAGGTTGCAGATACGCCTTGCTGATGAGTGCCAACTAGCACGAAACCTAGGTCCAAGGCTTCCTGCCGATTGCCTCCAACCATCTAATCCCAATAATTCACAGTGCACCGTAATGGCGAGCCACCTAGCATGGTGGCCACATTACAAACATGACTGATAGAATTCAGTCTGCACCGAAGATAGGACTAGACACATTACACTAGTTACTGACTAGTGTTCAATTAAAAAAAAATATCCAATACGGTCCTACAGGAGGTCAGTCGCGAGCCTGAATAGCTCAGTGGTAACGTCTCTGACTGCAGCACTGGGTGACGCGGGTTCGAATCTCAGAAGGGACATCAGTTCCTTCAAGGTTGCAGATACGCCTTGCTGATGAGTGCCAACTAGCACGAAACCTAGGTCCAAGGCTTCCTGCCGATTGCCTCCAACCATCTAATACCAATAATTCACAGTGCACCGTAATGGCGAGCCACCTAGCATGGTGGCCACATTACAAACATGACTGATAGAATTCAGTCTGCACCGAAGATAGGACTAGACACATTACACTAGTTACTGACTAGTGTTCAATTAAAAAAAAATATCCAATACGGTCCTACAGGAGGTCAGTCGCGAGCCTGAATAGCTCAGTGGTAACGTCTCTGACTGCAGCACTGGGTGACGCGGGTTCGAATCTCAGAAGGGACATCAGTTCCTTCAAGGTTGCAGATACGCCTTGCTGATGAGTGCCAACTAGCACGAAACCTAGGTCCAAGGCTTCCTGCCGATTGCCTCCAACCATCTAATACCAATAATTCACAGTGCACCGTAATGGCGAGCCACCTAGCATGGTGGCCACATTACAAACATGACTGATAGAATTCAGTCTGCACCGAAGATAGGACTAGACACATTACACTAGTTACTGACTAG